AGACACTACTTACTGATATACACCTGAACATCAACAGGAGAGAACTCTTTAAAGTAGAGACAAGAGACACTACATACTGATATACACCTGAACATCAGCAGGAGAGGACTCTTTAAAGTAGAGACACTACATACTGATATACACCTGAACATCAGCAGGAGAGGACTCTTTAAAGTAGAGACACTACATACTGATATACACCTGAACATCAGCAGGAGAGGACTCTTTAAAGTAGAGACACTACATACTGATATACACCTGAACATCAGCAGGAGAGGACTCTTTAAAGTAGAGACACTACATACTGATATACACCTGAACATCAGCAGGAGAGGACTCTTTAAAGTAGAGACACTACATACTGATGTACGCCTGAACATTTGTATAATAGGACCCCTTTAAGTTGTGAATATAACACACTGTCCCTCTTTCTGATTGCTTTCCCTTTCCTCCCCTGTGTGTGAGCAGCGCGGAGTTTCATGCGGTCCACCAGCTGCCAGTCAGACAGCAGTGGGTTTTTAGAGGAGCCCATCATCCCCCCCCTCAGTCAGCAGGCGGCACCGGGACAAGATCTCCTCAAGGTCTCCTAATAACGCACTCCTCTCACAATAAAATGCAATGCCAATTCTTCTGTACCCTTTTAAATCACTCACTCTGACAATGTGCTTTAATGTGATGTACTGCATGTCTCCGGCTGTTTGACTGTCTGTAACGTGTGTTTGGTCGCAGGCTCTGTCAGGCCTGCTGGGAGGAAGCACCGACAGCCAGAGCAGTGAGAATCCAGACTCCACCTCTCCAACTTCCCCTCATACCGCTTCATCTCTGCCACTCTCGTCATCTCCAACCTCTTCTGGTGCGGACAAGTCTCTCCTTTCACCAGAGCCTTCGTTAGTTTCCCCCCATTCCCCATCTCCCGTTTTATCGCGTCTCCTGGAATCCAACCTGCAGACTTTACAGACCCCACATGGTCAGGATCAGTCTTCCTCTGCTTCGCTGCCTGCCTCTTTAACTCCAGATTCAGAGGAGATTACAACTGAAGACCAGGATGCTCCACGCCCCCACCTCTCTGGTCCACCCCATGACTCTGAGAGCACAGCATGCCTGAGTGACCCTCCTCCTCCTCCTCCTCCTCCTCCTGCCTCATCTCCCTCTCCAAATTTGGTTTGTTTGTTTTCTGGGAACAGAGAGTCAAAACAGGCTGAGTTGGCTTCACATGGGAATTCCCTCTCTGAGTCCTCACCGTCCTCGCATCCCTTTTCAACTCTTGATCGTAGTTGTCCAGCCTCTCCTGAATTTCAACCGGAAGTAAAGTCCCTTTCCTCAGATGAAATAAGCCTCTCTTATCCACTGAAGGAAGAGGAAGAAACTCCCCCCTCTTTCTTCTCTCAGCCAGACACCATCAATCCCTCAGCTCCTGTCCTGGACTCCTCTGAGTTTGAGGAGGCTAGTCCCACACCGCCCTCTCCTAAACCTTCCAGTCCAGTTTATCCATTCTCATCACAATGCCAGGATGGTGAGGTAGATCGAGCTGTTGAAAGAATTCCAGGCCTTTCAGAGCACTCCCAACAGGACGTAGCAAGTCATGATGATAACTCACACCCAGCCCCTCCTGTCCAAGATGTCTCCCAGAGGAATCACCTCCCGTTAGGCTTTGAGGATACCCATCGGACGGGGGGGGAGGGAGGGGAGGAGGGCGCTGACACTGTGCAGACTCCAGAGGTTTACGTCCCAGACAGCTCTGCAGGCCTGTCAGCAAGTTCAAGATTAGTCTGTGAGGAAGTATGTAACCAAACAGAAATAGATCCGCAGCTCCAGTCCTGTAGTTTGCAAGAGGAGCTTTCAGCTGGAACCAAACCGGAAGAGAGTCAAAGGGGATCAGACAGAGAATCGCTCACTTCAGTTTTACCTGATGATGTGCCAGGAGCGCACAGCAGAACTGAAGTGGAACCAAAGGGTCTGATAAAGATCGAGAGCTTGGATCTGGTGTTTCAAACCTCAGTGGACGGCTCTGGAAGTGAAAGTGAAGATATAGAGGCGTTTCTTGAGCGGCTTGATAATGAAGGGCGGGTCTATTGGGCGGAACCGATCCAGGTTTCCAATCCGACTCCTGAAGCAGGCAGCTTTGAAGCCCCTGACGAATCACCTGGGAATACAAATGCAGCTTTTATCGATTCTTCTTCATCCACAAGCAGAGACATGACTTCATCTGTGACCTCCTCAACAACAATGGACACGAACCGGACGTCAACAAATGCAACTTCCTCCTCAGATTCACCCTCCTCTTTGACGCGACCATTAGCATCCCCCGTCGCGTCTTCAAACCTGAAACCGTCAAGTCGCTCCGTCTCCGTCCAGATGACCTCATCTCCTTCCTCTCATATTGTCCACAGGACGGATGTTCCCTTCACGACTCACTCCAAACGCTCCCTTCTCCCTAGTGTCCTCCCTTTGGACACCTCCAGTCCTTTCCGCGCTGTCCAATCATGGACAGACCTGCACATCCAACGACACACCCTCACCCAGAAGTTATCACACGGGGGGCTTCATTCTGCCCCGTATGAAGTGACCGTATCCACTGGAATGATCCCAAACCCTACACCGAACTTCTCCTCGTCTCCATATTTGCCTAAAGAATGGGAGTCACATGACTATCTCCCTGGGATGGCTAGAAATCCTATGTCGGTGTCTGTGGATAAAGGGCTGTGGACCGATGAGGAGGAGGAGGTGGACAGGAATGGAGGGGAATATGAGGACAAGCTTTGGGAGGGTCCTCACACTGAGACCATCGCATGCTGCTCATCCTGCGACCAGCAGTGTACGTGCAGGCACGGAGAGCGACGGGGGAATATTCCTGTGAGTAACACAATCACCATCATGTCATTATTCCTCCTTTCTCATCGTACTTTTTCTCCTCCGATTTATATTTCATGTTAGCTTTCCGTGTCCTTTGTCAGTTAAACTGTTTGAGCAGTGAGCTGTCCATCTTCCAATGAGTCACGACGTTTCCACTTTGATATAAATAGTATATTTGTTGTTGTGTTACCATAGTTCTTGAGATGGAGGCCCATTCATAGCCAGGACCTTATTAACATATCAATGCCTCATTTGCATGTGGAGTTTGTGGAGATGTTGACTGTGTGTGTGTGTGTGTGTGTGTGTGTGTGTGTGTGTGTGTGTGTGTGTGTGTGTGTGTGTGTGTGTGTGTGTGTAGTACGTAGTAGTAGTAGTAGGTAGTAGTACGTAGTAGTAGTGTGTGTGTGTGTGTGTGTGTGTGTGTGTGTGTGTGTCGTGTGTAGTGTAGTCGTGTGTGTGTGTGTGTGTGTGTGTGTGTGTGTGTGTGTGTGTGTGTGTGTGTGTGTGTGAAGTTGCTACGCGGTCAGGAAG